TGCGCGGACTCTAATGTGGGAGGACGGGTTTTGATTCCCCACTCCTCCACTTGCACCTGCTGATGTGACCTTGGGTAGGTCACAAGCTCTGGCACAGCTGTCCTTGAAAAAGAGCAGTTTGTGTCAGAGTTCTCTCAGCCCCACCCACCTCACAGGGTGTCTGTTGTGGGGAGGGGAAGGGAAAGGAGTTTGTAAGCCGCTCTGAGACTCCTTTGGGTAGTGAAGGGCGGGGTATAAATCCAATCTCTTCTCTTCTTCTTCTCTTCTTAACCACTACACCAAACTGTGCACGGACTCCAATTTGGGAGAACCGGGTTTGATTCCCCGCTCCTCCACTTGCAGCTGCTGGATGACCTTGGGCAAATTGTAGTTCTGTCGGAGCTGTTGTCTCAAGGACAGTTCTCGAAAGAGCTCTCTCGGCCCCACCTACCTCACAGGGTATCTGTTGTGGGGAGGGGAAGGGAAAGGAGATTGTGAGCCGCTCTGAGACTCCGAGTGAAGGGCGGACTATAGATCCAGTCTCTTCTCTCCTTCTCTCCTCTTATTCCCCCACCCAGTTTATATTCTTCATGGCAAGTCGCACATAGAAGAGGGAACTGTATGGAAATATGTTCATTTTTGCATTCTTTATTCTAAATGCATGACCTGCGTCTTTGTCCACCAGGAACAGGAGGAGGGCAGGAGAGAGTGAGGTGCGTAACTGCCGGCCGTGGGGAAAGGGGAGGGGAGGTAGACCACCTGGGCACCACAGCTTGGTTCTTGAGCAGCTCCTTGCTGAGGCCGTCTGCAGGAGTCCGAGCCCACCAGCCTAGCCCAAAGGCGAGAAGCTGGTTTTATTTTTTCTGAGAATGGAAACAGCGGGTGCGGCAGCCAGCAGTGCCGCTAGTCAGCAGAGAGGAGACCTGCACAGAAAACTGCCAGAGAGGGAACAGACGGACAGACACGGCACCCTCCGCTGGGAGGAGCCCCAGAGGAAACACCTTCCGGGCAGCTCTGCAGATGAGGGTTCAAGGGTGCTCCTGCTGGCCACACTCCCTGGGAAGGAAGGAACTCCCACCAGCTCAGCCACAGGACCCGTGGGCCTCTGTTATGCACTTAGCAGAGGCTGCCCCGAGAGAACGCGCAAAAAGAAGCAGAAGATGATATTGGAATTATACCCCATCCTTCACTAGCTGAAGGAGTCTCAGAGCGGCTGACAGCCTTTCCCTTCCCCTCCCCACAACAGACACCCCCTGTGAGGCAGGCGGGGCTGAGAGAGCTCTCTTGAGGACTGCCCTTGAGAGAGCAGCTCTCGTCAGAGCTATGGCTTGCCCAAGGTCATCCAGCCAGGTGCAAGTGGACCAGTGGGGAATCGAACCTGGTTCTCCCAGATTAGAGACCACACACTTAACGCTACACCAAACACCTAGTCCCTATCCAGAGGAGCTTTTTTATCAGACCAAACTAGGAAGCAGGAAGATTAAGAAGATGAAAAGAGAGATTGGATTTATACCTCGCCCTTCACTACCCAGAGGAGTCTCAGAGCGGCTTACAAACTCCTCTCCCTTCCCCTCCCCACAACAGACACCCTGTGAGGCAGGCCGGGGCTGAGAGAGCTCTCTTGAGAACTGCCCTTGAGAGAACAGCTCTTGTCAGAACTACGGCTTGCCCAAGGTTATCCAGCCAGGTGCAAGTGGACCAGTGGGGAATCAAACCCGGTTCTCCCAGATTAGAGACCACGCACTTAACCGCGACACCAAGCTGGGTGTAGACCTGGGTAGGGCCAGGCAGTGGTCTTTCCCCCGTCACAGGGAGTGCCGGGCCATGGGTCTCAGAGCTGCACCTTCACCCAGGAGCATTCACGGCCACTCCCGGATGGATGTCTGGGGAGAAGCACCCACCTGGCACACAGAAAGGGGGGCGCTGGCAGGATGGCCAAGCTCAGCTGGTTGGCAGGTGGAAGGACGGAAGGACGAGGCTGGGCAAGAGTCCACGGGGCACGCCCTCAGGTGCCCGCGTCCAGCCACGGGGTTCAGCACCTGCGTGTGGGTAGGAGACCAGAGGGACAGCGTGCGTGTGGCACAGCACCTGTACCTACTGAGCAACCAGAGAGACAGTAGCAAACCTTACTGGTCGTTTTCTCTCCATGTTTCTCTTTCAGGTGCTCAGTCATTAGGTTGGAGGCTTCTATGCTATGCAGGCTAGGCACATCATGGCCATTAAGTGAACTAGTCATAATCAAAGACTTGGCATGGCCACCTTTAAAGGCAGTTTTCTCTGGCTCACTTGCAGGGACGTCCTGTGTTAAAATACCTTCTGTTGAGTGCCTGCTCCCCTGTTCATGCATTCTCTGTGAGCTGGCCGTGATGTGTGGTGGGGATGTGGGGATGGGGGTGGCACAGGTGCTCAGTCATTAGGTTGGAGGCTTCTATGCTATGCAGGCTAGGCACATCGTGGCCATTAAGTGAGCTAGTCATAATCAAAGACTTGGCATGGCCACCTTGTCTTTTAAAGGCAGTTTTCTCTGGCTCGCTTGCAGGGGCGTCCTGTGTTAAAATGCCTTCAGTTGAGTGCCTGCTCCCCTGTTCGTGCATTCTCTGCGAGCTGGCCGTGATGTGTGGTGGGGATGGGGGTGGTGGAACCAGCATTGTGTCGCACAAACAGTGGCCTGGGTACCCCCTCTGTTGTGTGGACGTTTTGCCAACCTCTTCTGCCTTGGGGTCTCTGTAGGTTCCTCCAACGGCGCCATCATCCGATGACAAGGCGGTGGAGGATGAGTCGGAGAAGATGCCCCCTTTTGACGATGCCACGCAAGCTCTCATTGACGGTAGGCTTCCTGAAGGAAATCCGTGGTGGTGCCCAGCAAAGCCAGGCCGGCCCACTTGCCTTGCCTGGGCAGCAGCCACTCCCCTGCTCTTCAGTTGGAGATAAAGTAAGAAATAGCACCGCTGGTGGGCTGGAGAGGTGAGGCGGGCGTCAGGCGCTGCTCGCAATCCGTATGGGGGCGATGATGTCTCTGGGATCTGTTCTCAGAGCAGGGGGCCATCGAGCATCTGCCCTGCTTTCGAGGGAGTCGCGTCCCGGTTCATTGCTGCATCTCTGTGTGCTGTTGGTGTGTTGCCCGTCAGCCTAGTTTGTTTTGGGGAATGGAGGGACCACGTCGATTTGCAGCAGCGCTACGCTGGCCGTTCCACTCGCACCAGGGCCGACAGGTTCCTGGTGTAGGGCCGGGAGCTGTTGTTGTCGTTGGCCTGCTGAGCCGCAAAGCAGTCGGAGACCAGAGGAAGCTGTTGAGTTTTCCCTTAGCCGGGCTTGGATCCAAAGCAGCACGAGCACGGTCTCCTTTGAAGAAGGGCCCCCTCCCCCTCACAAGCACGCCTCCTTTCCATCAGGCCCACGGGAATGTCGCTCTGTGCTTCCTTTCCTGTATTTCCCTTCCCCATTTCGTCTCTGTGCTTTTAGACGAAACGTTTCAAAATTGGCTCTGAAAGAGGTTCTGTTTGGCTGACCGTCTCCCTGGTGCAGCCGCTGCTGCTCAAGACGGAGGCGGGGAGGAGGCGGGGGAAGCGGCCCTCGGAGCCCTTCCTCCCAAGGAGCGGCGGGTCTTGCTTTTCTCCTCCCTCCCTCTTGCTGGCGACGCACCGGACTCGGTTGGCCACAGAATTACCTCTCCAAGGGGGCCGTTTTGTTTCGGAGGACAGGATTGGAGGGAGCTGGATGTTGCGTCAGGGACGGCAGAAGCCTCACCAAACCTCACCTCGGCACGGGGAGGAGGCGCTCGTGCGCCCTTGCAAGCGTCGTGGTCTCCTCTGTCTGATGTACCCGCTCAACATCAAGGCGACACTGTCCCCGTTAATGTAAATAGCCCCACCGAGTAGGCTGTGTCTTAGGGACATGCCGAATCCTTCCATCTGTGCTAGAATGTAACCAGAATGACTTCAGTCAAATCTGAATGGGACCACAGAAAGACCAGCATTTTAACTTCATGTGTTCCAGGGAGACCTTGCCCCGACCTTGCTCCTCTTTTATCTGAAAAATAGTTTGTTTGTTTAAAATATTCATTCGCACCCTGGCCTCGTCAGATCTCGGAAGCTAAGCCTGGCAGGTACTTGGGAGGGAGACCTCCAAGGTACACCAGGACCGGGAAGCCAGAGGCAGGCCATGGCAAGCCACCCCCCTGAAACGTCCAAGCCCCACTAGGGGTCGCCAGAAGTCTACCATGGCACACACAAGTACTCACAAATATATATTCACTGCCTTTCTTCCTTATGGAGCTCAAGTTGGCTTACAGTATTAATAAAAAACACTAAAAACAAAACTTAAAATTGTAATTTAGGACTGGTTTATTTATTTTATTTATTGTTCATATTTCTATCCCGCCCTCCCCGGAGGCTCAGGGCGGCTTACAAGGCGTATTTGCCAGATAAAACAGTAAAACAGTACAAAATATTAAATTACATCCTCATTAAAACAATTTTGGTGCTCCTCTCAGCTAATTTCCAAATTCCAAGTTACAATTCCTAAAATCGAGATGGCCGCCCCCTAAGCGTCCTGTTCTCACCCATAGTGCAGCAATTTTGGGGCATAGGTGTACGTGCCCCCATCCTGATGTCTATATATGGGGCGTAGATGGTAAACTAGTGCGGTGGTAGTGCAGTCCTGATCGTGAGTTCGTTGTTTTAAGTCTCCCAGCTGTGGCTCTGTCTGTGGGAAGACTTTAAGTTCAGACTCAGCTAGTCCTGGGCGCAGTGTTCCCTCTAAGTTGAGTTTGGTGTGAGCCGGCTCGCAGTTCTTTAGCCTCCGGCTCACACCTCTTTGTCTCAGCTCAGGAAGGATGGGGCTCCAGAGCAAACTGCTTTATGCAGCAGCCCAATCGCTCGCTCACAACTTTAATGCCAGTGGCTCACAAAGCAGAATTTTTGCTCACGGGACTCCACAGCTTAGAGGGAGCATTGGTCCTGGGAAAGGGCCCTGGGTGTGATTTCATCCACCGCTGTCTGGTGTCGTCAAGCCTTCGTGGTAATTTTACGTGTCTATGATGCCAAGAGGCTAAATGTTGCAGACAACTAAGACTGGGGTTGGGTTCGGGTTACGAGGTGCCATTCCAAGTCCCCCTTTCCCATGGTCCCCGAGAGCTCCTCTCTGAGCTCCTTGGGGGTAAGAGTGTGTGGGGGGAATATCTGATGGATTGGCGAGGCTTCGGAAGCGCTTTCAGCGGCAAGTGAGGAAAAAAGAAAGCCCCACACACGTCGTTGGCTGTTGCTGCTAGAGTTCTTGGGGGACCCGAGGGATGCTTCCAGGGCACAGTTCACGGCCTGGTCCAGGGTTGTTTCGGTGCCCCCCTGCCGGGGGTCTCCTCTTTTAGTTCTGCCCCCTTCTTTCACTGGCGGACCGCCCGAGGAGACGCTTTAGCAAGTGGCTTCCTCTGATGTCCTGTAGATGGCGCCAGTGGACTCCAGGTAGCCCTTGTTCCCCCCCACGCCTGCCCTGTCTTCTCTCTGTTTTTTTTTAATGGGTGGGCAGGTGGTTTTATTTATTTATTTTTATTTATTTATTCCTCAGATTTCTACCTTGCCCTCCCAGCCACAGCCGGCTCAGGGCGGCTTACATAAAATCAGCAAAAAAACCCCCCCCATTTAAAACAATACAATAGACCATTTAAAACAGTATTAAAAACCGGTTAACACTTTCATACTAAGTGCTAGTTTTGTTGTCGTTGAATCAGTGATGGCTGCCAGATCGGCTCTCTCTTCCCATAACCAGCTTGTAGGTCTTCTGCAGGTGTCTACCAGGCGACTGGCACCGGCCAATAGGAGCACGTTCCAAAATGGGGGGGAGGCGTTTCAGGGGTCAGCAGTCTGTGACTGAAGTTGAGGACCTGGTTCCATTCTCCATTAAAGAGAGGACAGGCTTCCTTGCGAAATAGGAGTAAGCCGTGGACACTGAAGAGGCGCAGCCTTGAATAGCAGCATTTGGGTTGGCTGTTGTCTGGTTTTGTGTAGCAGACAAAGGGAATTTTCTGAATTTATTATTAGAGAAAATTGTATGTGTTGGGCGAAGCTGGGGTTAAAAGGACATTTGAAAATCCGGTTGTGGGGAAGTGCCGAGCATTCGAAATCGAACCTTCAGAAACATGAGAGCATCAAACGTAGCCTTTTGCAGCTGTCCCTCTGTGTAGAGGAGAGGCCGGGGGTCAGTGGCAGAGCCTCTGCTTGGCAGGCAGAAGGTCTCGGGTCAATCCCTGGCAGCTTCTCTAGTGAAGAGGACCAGGCAGGAGGGTGATGGGAGAGGCCTCAGCTGGAGACCCCAAAGAGCTGCTGCCCATCAGCATAAACAAAGACTCACCCGGATGCACCAGGAGTCTGATGGATTCGGGGTCTAATTCAGCAGAAGGCAGCTTCATGCACGATCATTTGTGATTGGCTAAGAATGGGCTGCAGTGGCTCAATGGTTAAGACGCTGAACTGCAGGCTGGAAGGTCGGTAGTTCAGCAGTTTGTGACCCGAGTGTGCCGGAGTGAGCTCCCATCTCTAGTTCCAGCTCCTGCCAACCTAGCAGTTCGAAAGCAAGAAATTGCAAGTAGATAAACAGGTACTGCTTCGGTGGGAAGATAACAGCGTTCCGTGTGCCTCGGTGTTTAGTCATGCCGGCCACGTGACCACGGAGAAGTCTTCGGACAGCGCTGGCTGTTTGGCTTGGAAACGGAGATGAGCTCTGCACCCCTAGAGTCGGACTCGACTGGCTTTCAAGCAAGGGGAAACTTTGCCCTTTACCTTATGAACGCAGTGTTGCTTGTAGAAAACAGGCATTTATGTGCTCCAGTTTTATACATACAGAATTAGTTATATTATGCTAAGTTATAAGTTCAAGCGGTAAACCTCAGTTTAGGTTTGATCAGTGTCGCGCTCACAGGAACTGGGGTGGCTGGAAAGCGACATGGGCAGGTCTCCAGAGTGAATCCCGGGCGGAGGAGGGTCTCCCCCCCCCCCCCTGCTGGAGCGCCCCTTTGCGTGTGCCGGTCTGTGCCGTGAAGGCTGTGGCAGCCTCTCCGGGGCGAGAGGGACGTCTGCCCTGGCCTACCTGTCCACTCCTGTTCTCAGGAACGCTCCACTAGCTGCATCCTATATCCCTGCAGCCGCCTTCTGTGCCCTGTGAGCCTGCCTCTCAGGAGAGCGGAGAGGAGGGCAGGCCCCGATTCTCAGGCGCTGCTTTGGCGAAGGGGATTCTGTGCGGGGATCAGCACGGGCCCCCCTGCTCTTTGCTCAGTGCTGCATCCCCGCCTCTTTGCCTGTCTGTGTGTGTTTCAGCTGCCCAGAAGGCCCGGGAGCAGTTTGAAGAGGCAGAGAAATCCCTGAAGGAGACGGAGGAATCGATCAGGTACGGCTGTGGGCTGAAGTCTGCCATGCGTTGAGAGGGGGAGGGGCTCCCCGGCGCAGCTCTTGAGTGGCGGGTGCCCTGGGCGCTCTCTGCAGCGTCTCCCGGCAAGACGTCCGGAGCACCCGCCCCCCTGCTGCCTGGTTTGTGCCTGATCAGAACCTGTTTGTTTGATTTGTGTTTTTTTTAAAGAAAAGAATGGGGGGGGGGAGCCCTCGAAACCCAGTAACTAATTTTAAAAAGCAATAAGCACATATAGAGAGAGTGGAGATAAATGTGTAACAACCAGAATTAGCAGATCTGCACAGAAGCTCCTATAACAGGTTTCCAGATACCTAAAAGTAAGTCCATCTGCAATTGTCTATATGCCATACGTTCAAATATTGATAAAAGTTGTCAGGTCTTCAGTCCATGGACTTACAGCAGGAAGGCATTTTCTCTCTCCAGTGCTGTAATAACCTGTGCCTCAGTTGTGGTATTTATTTAAAATATCTGCATGTTGCAAATATTTTGACCGTAGTGGTTAAGTGCGCGGACTCTAATCTGGGAGAACCGGGTTTGATTCCCCACTCCTCCTCCACTCGCACCTGGCTGGATGACCTTGGGCAAGCCGTAGTTCTGATAAGAGTTGTCCTTGAAAAAGAGCAGTTTCTGTCAAGAGCTCTCTCAGCCCCACCCACCTCACAGGGTGTCTGTTGTGGGGAGGGGAAGGGAGAGGAGTTTGTCAGCCCCTCTGAAACACCTTTGGGTAGTGAAGGGCCATGGGGTATAAATCCAATCTCTTCTTCTTCCTTCTTCCTTTTCTTCTTCTTCCTCTTCTTCTTATCTGCTCAGCTTCCTTATGACTCTTCAAATAATGTAGCAGAGCCCCACTGCCCCCAGTTCGAGTCAGGTCTGCGGTTTAGGGGAAGAACGGACTCCACTCTCTGCGCTTTTCCCCTGACCTCATTTCCCCTGTTGAAGGACGCCTGCTGGCTGGCTGGCTGTCCGTCTCCGTGACCATTGGCTCGCCTTCTCTCCCTCCCCCACGCTGAGCCCCTCTCCTTGGCTGCTGCTGCTTCAGTCATCTGGGCACCCCTCGGCGCAGGACTCCTGAGCAGTGTTCCCTCTCAGCTGAGTTAGTGTGAGCTAGCTCACAGCTTTTTAGCCTCTGGCTCACACGTTTTTGTCTCAGCTCAGGAAGGAGGGCTCCAGAAGAGCAAACTAACGTGTGCCGTGGCCCAGTCGATCGCTCCCAACTTTCATGCCAGAAGCTCCCAAAGGAGAATTTTTGCACACAGGACTCCACCGCTGAGAGGGAGCATTGCTCCGGCGGGTCTTTGGGATTCCTTCTTTTCCTCCCTAGCCTCAGACGGAAGGCTGGGATAATCCCTCCCACAGGTGTGGAGACCCCACGTGCAGCCTGCCTGGCCTGACCCATCTTTTCATCCATCCCTCCCCCCTCCCATTCTCTCTCCCCCCCCCCGCCCTCCCCCCCACGGGTGTCCCCCCCCCGGCCTCCCACCAATGGTTTCCCCCTTGTTCCGACTCGGCCGGGCCTTCTGGTGCAGCCATGGGGTTTTATGTGCTCTTCCCAGGTCTGCCTTTCAGTGTCGCGGGCCTCACCCATAAAGCCCCGCTCCCTCCATGGGCCTGGCTTCTCGGCCAGGGCAAAACTAGGCCACCCGTCCCGATTTACGAAAGCTCAGCACGGCAGCAGCGTCTCAGCGCCTGCAGGCCAGGAGGGAAATGCCCCTGGGGGGGGGTCGGTGCCCTTTCCCGGGTTCAGCCGCCCTGCCTCCCAGCATCCCCTGCTGCGGAGCAGGAGCCCCCCCCACTGGCCACTGGCCCACCGCTCTCTCTTCTCTGCTCCCTTCCCTTCCCCAGGTCTCCGGAGAGGAAGGGAGGAAGCCTGACATAAATCTCAGGCCGATGGCAGAAGTCATTGTTGCCGCAGCGGCCAGCCCCCTCCCCGGCTCCCGGCAGATGGGAGACCTTGGCGGTGGGCTTGCGCGTGGCTGACCCTGGCGGCTGGCCCAGAGGGAGGAGGGGCTCGCTGCTGCTGATCTCGTCCCCTTCTGCGTGAGGGCAGCAGCAGGGCCTTTGGGTCCTCTTTCCGCCTGCGGAGCGGTGTCCCCTCTAGGCTGAGTGAGGGTGAGCCAGCTCACAGTTTTTTGGCCTCCGGCTCACACGTTTCTGCCTTCGCTCAGGAAGGAGGGCTCCAGAGCAAACTCATTGGTGCAGGAGCCCAGTGGCTCGCTCAGCCGTTTCATGGGGAGGGCGGGGGAGAAATGGAATTAAATAAATAAATAAATAAATAAATAAATAAATGGTCTTCCTGTCTGCTCCCTTGCGAGTGAGTCGGGGCAAACGGTGTGCTAGAGGCGATTAGGAAAGGGATTGCACATAAAACAGCCAACACTGTAATGTCCCTCTATAGGTCCACGGTGTGGCTGTGTATCGTTCTGGCCACCCTATCTCAAAAAAGGGCATTGCAGAGCTGGGGGAAAGTACAGAGGGGGGAGGGCGACCAAGACGTTGAGGGGGTTGGAGCCCCTTCCCTAGGAGGGAAGGCTGAAGAGTCATCTGGGACGTTTCAGTTTAGGACAGAGATGACTGAGGGGGGACGTGACTGGCTCTGAAGAGGGTCAGGACCTGGGGCCCTCCGCAGGCCAAGCGAGTGGCGGCAGTGTGGTCCCTTTCCGGACTGTGGAGAGCGCTGCCACATTCTAGCTCGGGTTTCGGGGCGGATTCCATTCTAAATATACCCCGGCCGCCGCCGTTGGGGCTAAACCCACCGCCCTCCACGTGTGCTTGGCCGCAACGGACTTGCTTCTGGAGGGGGGGACGGGGACCGCGAGCCCGAACGCTTGCCGCACGGAGCAGAGGGAAGAAGAGAGGCCGGCTGCTTCTTCCCGTGGCTGGAGCCAGGCGGCCGCTCTCGAGTGGGCGGAGAGGAACTCCTCGAGGAGGAAACAAAGAGCCGAGGCGCCGTCCCCGTGATTAGGGGTCGCCTTGGAGACGGGGCGGTAACCAGGGGATACAGCCTCCCCAACGGGCCCTTTGACTCTGGCAGGGGGTCCCCGAGGAGGCCGCAGGCGGATCAGGGCAAGGAGCAAAGGCAGCCGCGCCACCGCCGGCCCAAAAGGGGAAGGAGGAGGGCTGATGTTCGGCCTGGGGGGGGGAGGGGGGAAGGTGCTGCCCAGCCCGCCTCCCCACCCCCGCCAGAGCTCCTGGGGAGGAGCCGGAGGCGAGTGGTCCAGTTCTGCCCTCCAAGCAGCCAGGAGGGTGAGGCCAGACGGACCGGAGGCCCTGCTCAGCCAGCAACTCTGGGTCTGGGGGCTGCCTGTCAGAAGCCCCCTCCAGCTGCCGCCTCCCCTCTTCTTTTCTGCTGACCAGTGATTCTCGCCTAAAAATACCTCCCTGCCAACAGTGATATTGAAGAAGAAGAGATTGGATTTATACCCCATGGCCCTTCACTACCCAAGGGAGTCTCAGAGCGGCTGACAAACTCCCTTCCCTTCCCCTCCCCACAACAGATACACCCTGTGAGGTGGGTGGGGCTGGGAGAGCTCTCTCAAGAACTGCCCTGGAGGGAACAGCTCTGAGAGAACTTGTGACTGACCCAAGGTCACACCAGCAGCTGCAAGTGGAGGAGTGGAGAATCAAACCCAGTTCTCCCAGATTAGAGTCCGTGGCACTTAACCACGACACCAAACTGGCACATTTCTTGCTTTCATTAAAACTCCCCCGGCGTAGTTCCGTGACTCCCGCGGCCCTTCCTGCTCGTCACGCTTGCTTTAGTTTCCCCCGGGGGGGGGGCCCACACCCCCTTCTGTGTGGGGAGCGTCCTCCACTCACAGGGCCACCACGAGCTTGTCACTCCCCGGCACTGCTCCTCCTAATCTGGGTCATGAAGGCCGAGCCCCACTGCACCCTCTGGCCCCGGGCAGCTTTCCTGCCTCAGGGAGCCTTCCGGAAGGGGGGCGGGGCCTTCCAGCGGCCGGAGGGGTGTGGAGTGCAGAGACAGACGCTGGGCGTGGCCCCCCAGCTCTTCAGGGAGGGGGGGCTCAGTGACCCCAGCAGGCGGGAGTCCAGCAGGGGGGTAGTCGGGGACGGTTGTGGCAGAGCAAACCAGGAAGGACGCGGAGAGGTCCCGGTTCTGCCAGCTTTCCTCTGACCTTTCTGCCAAACATGCCCAGCAAGATCTCCTTCCTTAACCAGCCTAACGAGGGAGGGTGCTGTTAGCCCTCCATCATCCATCGCTTCTCTCACGGTGTGTCGGCTCCACGGCCCTTGTGAATGGGGGGAGGCAGGAGGCCGCTGGGTGAGCATCTTCATGTGCTGGAAGGTCCGCTTCCATTTCTTTCGCTGTGCCTTCTCTCTTAACTGGGCTTCTGACCTTGGTACCTCGGCCCTGTCGCTTCGCTGGGAACCTGAACCCGGCACCTCATCCTCTGACTGGCCCAATTCCATTGGGGGACCCCGTTTCGAACCCTGTATAGCTTTCCCCTTTCCCGCCTGCTGAGTTAGATCGAACACTGAACGTGCGCACAGATGACCTGCCTTTACTGTGCCCAGGGGTCATTTTGTAGAAAAAGAGGTGCAGGAGCTCATTAGCATAACTTATTTGCATATGCCACGCCCCCTGACACCACCGGAAGTGTGTCAGGAGGCAACACCCACCGCTCAGGCTCCACTGGACT